CATGTTCCACGCTAGTAGGAATTATTTAAAATATAATAAAATACATGAAATAACGTTAAACACACAAGATACATTTATTTTATTTCACACCCCCAATTGATTAATACTACAAACATATTAATCCGTTTCTTTAAATTTCCTAACTTTCTCCTTCTCTTTTCGTATCTCTCTCTCGTTCGTGTTCTTCGTTAGCATTTTTACGCAATAGTTCAATTCAGTTCAATTCGTTGCATTCACGTAGTGATTATCATTGTCGATTACATTAATTGTTACGAGAAAAACCGTCTCAGATTCAGATTCTTGCAGGAAAAACAAGTGTTCTCGGCGGCAATGCACGAGGCGGTTGCCGCGCTCCTGCCCGCCTTGTATACTCGCGCTCTGATTGGGCGGGGATTTTTGTTAATAACTCAATAACCACGCCTCGGACAATTTTTTCGCAAAGGAAAAAGTTGTTTAAAATCACCTCAGGAACCTCCCATTAAAATATGTACCACTAGTCCTGGGACACCCTGTATTGTGTAATTTGCGGCATTTGCTGTGCCAAATGTGCGGCCTTTGCTTGCCAAAATGCTGTGGAAAGAATAGACTGAATCAAAAAGCATCTAGCCATTTCCACAAGTGTCAGGCAGTGGGCATTCAAACAACTGTATAGCAAAATAATCTTCAAATTACTTTCATTTTATTACTTTTTATTCATATTATCTATTTTAATGGATATTTCTTTTTATATACCGCATAAAAAGAAATCGCACAAAAAAGATCATATAAAGCAGATTTGTTTGATGTTTTGATGATGCTTATTATAATAAACATTTTTTTTCATGTTTTTGATAGTTCAGAAAATTGTTTGATAGTATGTCGAATGATTGGCAAAATAAGATGACAGAGGACGAGATGACGATTATGCAAAAATACGGTGATAGAGGTGTTTTCTTCATATTTATATATATAGGTAAGAAGTCTATCCATTAACATTAACTAACACTTTTCCAAGTTAAGATAAAAATATAAAACAGAATAGATTTTTATTATGATACACTATACAGGGTGAGTCTCCTAACATGACGACCTCAAATAACTCGTAAGGTGTTCGTCGTACGAAAAAATGTTTCATACAAAAGTTTCAGTATTTGAGAGGGCCGCAATACGGGCGCACTTTATTTTTTTACTGGTGGAGGCGCTGAAGCTACGCTAAGGTCACCGCCAATTTTTTAAATGGATCGGTATATTTTTGCTTCCGTATCATGATAGAGAATTTTGAAACGAATTCAACGACCTATAACACAAGGACATTGAAGGTCATATAAAGCGGAAAAAGGCGATAATACTTACGGTTTTTGTAATAGATTACAGAAGTTATAATTTAAAAACGCAACTAATAACTACTACGATTTCTTTTCTTAAGGACAAACTTATGATCTAAAACTCAAGGAAAGGTTCAAAGAAAAGCAATTTCACAAAAAATATTTTTTTGTCTTCCTCTTTATTTCAACATTATTTTTTTCCCAACTGACAAGATTCGTTATTCAAGCAATCAAACTTACAACTACCTGGGATAGAAGGAAGAGGTTATAAAAAAAGGAGATTACGATTAAAACACTGTAATCTATTACAAAAACCGTAAGTATTATCGCCTTTTTCCGCTTTATATGACCTTCAATGTCCTTGTGTTATAGGTCGTTGAATTCGTTTCAAAATTCTCTATCATGATACGGAAGCAAAAATATACCGATCCATTTAAAAAATTGGCGGTGACCTTAGCGTAGCTTCAGCGCCTCCACCAGTAAAAAAATAAAGTGCGCCCGTATTGCGGCCCTCTCAAATACTGAAACTTTTGTATGAAACATTTTTTCGTACGACGAACACCTTACGAGTTATTTGAGGTCGTCATGTTAGGAGACTCACCCTGTATAGTGTATCATAATAAAAATC